TGTGCCAGGTGCTGGACCTGACGGTGCCTGACGCCTGGCAGTCCACCCCAACGCGGCTGCGGGACACGCTGTGCCGCCTGCCGCGCCTGCGCCACCTCCACGTCACACTCGCCTGCGGCGCCGCGCAGCTGCCGCACCTGACGGCCCTGGGCCGCCTCAAGACCCTGGCCATAGACTACGGGGGGCCGCCCGCGCTGAAGCCGGGCCTGCGCGCGCGCCTCGAGGCGGGCCTGCCCGCGACGAAGGTGCAGGTCTGGGAGCAGCTGCGCGCGCGCGGCTGCAGCTCGTTTGGCGGCGCAGGGGCCGAGGGCGAGGGCGGTGCGGGCGGGCTGTGGCGCGCGGTCGGGCGGCGTGCGGTGCGCGCGGTGGTGGTGGTGGCCGTGCTGGCTGGGGGTGCAGCGGTCGCGCTGGGCTTGCTGCGGCGGCGTGCGGCCTGGCGTGCAGGCGGCTTTTTGAACCTCGGGCGGGCCCGGCGTTGACACGGGCGGGGTTCCCGTTGGTAACTCGCTGCCCTACTTCAAAAGAGATTGATTGACGACCAGCTGCTTCCAGGTGCCACCTGGGTGGAGCGTCACCCCTTGTACAGGCAGGGGTTCAATCTCAAGTTCTCGTGTGCACCGCAGCTGTGTTGCTGTGTGGACAGCTGTTCACATTGCTCGCGCGTCGCCTTGACCGCATTATTTTTCAGATTTGGATATGACTCTCTCCAGTCTGCTGGGGTGCGCATGACCCTTTGTGAGTACCTTGTTGATTCACTGGCCAACAACGGCAGGCAACTGTAAGCAACGCATCCCGTGTTTCTGCCGTAGCTCTGTGCTTGCGAGGGCGCGTAGCCCATATCGCGAGTTTGATCAATTGGCTTTACAGCAGGACACACATAAACCCTCAAAACACTCAAAACGCCACAGCGCGCGCTCGGCAACACGCCGCTCCTCGGGCCGCGGCGGTGCGGCGCGGCGCATCGGCGGACAAGACGCGCGCGCCCCTGTGGGCGCAGCCCCTCCTACTGACCAGTTTGTGAAGAGCGATATTTCATTCCCCTGGTGCCCCGTTCAGGGCCAGAGGGCCTGGAGGAAGCAGGGGGTGGGGATGGTGATGCCGCCAAAGTCCACGCTGGGGGCGATGGCGCAGGGGGGCGCGACGGCCTGGCCGGGGATGACGACGGCCTTGGAGAACATGGTGGTGCCCAGGGGGTCCGCCAGGTGCTCCGACAGCGCCGCCAGGGGGTTCTTGCCGGTGGTCTGCGCGGCCATGGTGAAGCCCACGAACGCGAGCATGGCCAGGCGGCCGTTCTTGATCTCCTTCACCTGGGGGGGTTTGAGGGGGGAGCGAAGGCATGGTGTGGGTTGCAGGGGGGCAGGTTACCGCTCTACCCGCTGGGGGCAGGATCTTGGTGGAGTGCCATGACCATGCCTTGTCGTCAAGGCGAGTAGGCATCGTAGTCGCTGGCGCAAACAATCACCCCGTGCAAAGTGGTGCTCTCTGCCCACAGGTGCACAGCAGGCGTGACCGTCCGCCTGCAACACACGCTGCGGGTCCCAGGTCTCCCGCACCTTGAGCTCGTCAAGGTTCCCGGGCACAAAGGGCGCGAAGATGCCGCCGGGGTAGCCGACCTGCGGGCCGGGCGGCGCAGAGGGGTGCGAGCCGAGGTTGTGGGTACGAGAAAGCCAGTCTTGCGCAACTGCTTGTCGAGTCACACAGACCTTTTGAGGCAGAGTGCACTCTGCCGCGTCACTGCCTGCCATTGCCGCATCCGGTACTGAGGAGGCCGTCATTTGGAAATCGATCTGACCGCCCTCCGCTCCCTCCCGCGAGGCCCTAGGCACAAGCGCGCGCGCGCACCTCGTGGGCGGGCAGCTTGTTCTGGGGGAACAGGGGGTCGGTGTCGACGCTGCCCGGGTTGTAGAAGTCCTGCCACCGCTTGAGCTCCACAAAGTGCATGGCCCACAGCTCAATGGCCACCAGGCCAAAGGCGCGCTCCGGGGTCACGATCTCGTTCTGGTTGTACCAGAACTGCTCGGGGCGCACGATCTCCTGGGCCAGGATGCCGGCAACACCCAGCATCGCCCAGCGGGCGTGGACGCGCTCGGCCTCGGCAAACCACCTGAGGCTGGTGGCGTTGGCGCCCTGGGGGGAGGGGAGAGGGGGGCAAGGGGGGGTGAGTGAAGCGCATCACAGGCGGCTGGATACAGAAAAGCTCACTTTTGCCATGGCTAACATCTACACCAAGATCGCCCTGGTGCTCGCAACATTTGAAAGCTGTGACAGCTGCACATCATATTATTGCTTGCTTCATTCCCCGCCGTCACGTCGAGCCTCTGTCCCAGATTGTCGCTTGCATGTTTGCACTGCTGCCATGCTGCAAGTCACTGCTGCGCTACCACTCCCGTTCCAGGTGGCAGCTCACCAGGCCCAGGGGGTCGAAGCCAAAGTCACCGGGCAGGCTGCGGCGAACACAGTCAGTGGCGCAAGCGATGGGGGTTCAGGGGTCAGCTTCGCAACTAGGCGGTCGTGCAACCGCCAACTGCATGCACCACCCTCCGGGGCCATCTGCCGCATGCGAGGGTGCCGCCGCTACGCAGAGATCTGCACTGCCAGCCGCGTCAGCTACATCCTCCATCTGTGTCCCGCCCGCTGCACCCATGACTGTGCCACCCCGCTGCCTCGCTCGCCTGCCATCGAGGTACGCAGGGGCATCGCCACCGGGCAGCCAGAGGTCACGGCCGGCAGCAACGCGGACGGCGCGGGCCTGCGTGTTGGGTGCAACGTTGCTGATCATCAGCGTTGAACCACGTGCACTGTGCATGGCGGACATGCTCTCGAGCTTGTTGTGCGAGGAGGGCTCAGCGCACAATGACCGAGGCCCTCGGCGAAATCCGGACGAGCGCTCCCAACGCCTGGGCCACTGCCATTCGCAAATCCTCCTCCTACAAAGACATCTCCACGCAAAATCACCTGGGGGCGGGCCGACGCACGGAGCCCCGCGCGAGAGAGGGTCTTGGAGGACAGCATCATGGCTGATGTGTGTTTGTGAGGTGGCGTGGAGATGGAAGTGATGCCGAGACGTGAGAGCGTGTGGATCGTGTGAGGTGGCGAGGATGAAATGGGGGAGCAAGATCGTGCGGGGAGTTCTGCAGGCGCCCCGCTCAACAAGTGCAGAACGGGATCCTCGGGAAAGTTTTCTGAGTTGTTTCAGATTGTTACGAAGTATAATTGCTTGTGTCCCGCAGGCCACGCAAGGTTGCATGGCGGCATGGGCGACTACAGGCACAGCATGCGGCCAAACCCATCGTCAGTCAAATCGTGGGAAGCCCCTGCTTGTGGGGAGGGCAGGGTCAGTGAGCCATGGTGCGCTGCTCACCACACTCACTATCAAACCGCTAATGGCTTGGGATGATGTTGTTTTCGTCCCTGAACCAACTCTACAACCAACTGCCCCGTTCTTGGCAACCAAATAATTATGCGATCCTCACTGCAGTGCAGTGCTAGTGTGCTATGCCACCGCATCCTGCCAGTTATTTGCGGAGGCGTCTGAGTCACACTCGGCTGTTGACTCCGGCCCTGTTATCCCCTGATCTCACCCTCAGGCCTGGCGGCGTCTGTAATTGCGGAGACATCATCATGGGTGCCGTCCCAAGCCAACATCTGTTTCAGGCCCTTACAGACGCAGATGCTCGCGTATATTGATACTGCTGGTGGAGGCTGGTGCGCCAAGCAGGGGCGGCCTGATGATTACGGAGGTGACTACCATACCCACTTGGTGACAGCCCAGTTGCAAGTGTTCATATGATGCGTGCCATGTACCATCTAAAATCCATGTGCCATCGTCAATCTGGGTGGCATCCGCCTCATGTTCATCATACTGACTGCTGCACCCACGAGATCGTTGCAAGCACACCCGGGTCTACCGGTATCCCGGCTGCTTGTGCTGTGCGCGCCCACGCACCCGGGAAGCTGGGCACATCAGTCATGACACACAGCAGCGCGCCAGGTGTTTGGTTGTGGGTTTGTGCAAGTCATCGCGCCAACGATGACGAGTCCGCTATAAGGGGTTTGCACAGTCGAGCGGACCTACACGCTTGTCAGATCGCGCAAGGCTCCCGACGCAGGTTAGCAAATAAATAAGCACGGGAGCATCATCCCGAACAGAGATTCTTACAGCGGCACAGCTTTGCTCGACACTGGCCAGCTGAACAACATTTGTAGTGCTGCAGCATAGGCGTGCCTGGCATTGCGCAGACGGGGGGCCGGCTGTCGTGCTGCCACCGATTCGCAGTAGCTACCACGTTTCTGGGCCATCAACCCATGCTGTGAGCAGCAGCTGTATGCAGGAAAAAGTCTGCAAAGAGAGAATCTGCAACGGCGTCACCAGGCGCCGGCGGAGCGCCCCTGCACCCCGCTAGGACGCGGCATGGGCGTCCCCGTGCGCTTCACGCCGCTCTGCGGCGCGCGCGCCGAGGGCGCCCCCCTGGCGCACCTCCTGGAGCTCGGCCCCCCGGACGCGTCCCTCACGCTGCTGCTCGACTGCGGCTGGGGCGGCGCCGCCGACGGCGCGGCGGAGGAGCTGGCTCCGCTGGTTGCGGCGCTGCCCCGCGTCGACGCGGTGCTGCTGTCGCACCCGGACCCGCGGCACTGCGGCGCACTGCCGGTCCTGGTTGGGAAGCACGGGCTCAAGGCGCCCGTGTTTGGGACGGCGCCCATCGCCAAGATGGGGGCGATGTTCGCATATGACGCCTTCTTGTCGGCGCAGGTGCGGCACGGCAGCGGCGTGGGGACGAGCGCCCAACGGGGCCGGCGGGCGCAGCAAGCGCCCAACGTTTGCCAGAGAGCCCACGCTGGGCTATGGCATGGCGAAGCAGAGGTTATGCGCCACGCATACCTCGTACTCACCATCACAAGGCAGCTGCGGCCAGCAATGCTGCAAACTCCCACTCACACCCACCCAGTCCAACCTCTATGCCCCTGCCCCGCTGCGGCCACTACTAACCTTGTCCCAGGCGACCCAGGATCTTAGCGCCTATGACTTGGATGACGTGGACAGAGCCTTTGCAGCTGTCACCAAGCTCAAGTACACGCAGCCCGCCACGCTGCCGGGACCCAGGGCGGCGGCGCTCGCGGCGCGCCTCGGCTGCGGTGGCGTGGCGGTGACGCCGTTCCCCGCGGGCCACCTGCTGGGCGGCGCTGTGTGGCGGATCGAGGTGGCGGGGGAGGAGGTGGTCTATGCTGTAGACACCAACCACCGCAAGGAGCGGTGAGGGGGGACGGCCTCTTGGATTGGGGGGCAGGCCTGAGGTGGCAGGAGGGAGATTTTCTTGAGAGTGGGGCGGCTTGACGGGTAGGTAGCCATGCAATAGGGTGCCAGCAGCCTGCCTAGGGTCACGTGGGTGGCAGGGGTTGTGTGCTCAGTACGCCCCTGACAATGGGGGCGGCCGCATGAGTTGGGCGCCTGCCGCACAGCTCTGGGATCCAGTCAGCCATTGATGCTGTAGCACCTGCAGCAGCCGCATGCGCCCACCCGCCTTTGGCTGCCCCGCCCCCACCTCCGCCAACCCGCCCGGCCCCGCCTGTTGCCCACCCACCCGCCAGCCACCTGTCCGGCAGCCACCTGGAGGGCGTCACCAGCCGCCCCGCCCTGATGGTGGTCGGGGCGGCCTCGGCAGCCACGCAGCCCGTGGAGCGCGCCCGCCGCGACGCGTCACTGCTTGAGGCACTGCTGGCGGCGCTGCGCGCGGGGGGCAACGCGCTGCTGCCCGTGGACACCGCGGGGCGGGTGCTGGAGCTGCTGCTGCTGCTGGACGACCATTGGGGCACCGCCAAGTGAGAACAAACCGGGGGATCAACGGTTTGCAGCTGCGATCCCTTGGCAAAGCTCCCGACCCATGCGCATGTGTGTGTGTGCGCGCTTGTGTGTGTGTATGTGTGTGTGTGTGTGTGTGTGTGTGTGTGTGTGTGTGTGTGTGTGTGTGTGTGTGTGTGTGTGTCGCGCGCGCACTCTACACCAGCCAGCATCCCCCAGACGTCCCTGGCAGCCCCTGCTCAGGTCGGCCCCTCCCCATGC